TGCAATGTCTGCACGAGCTTCTAAGACCCTACCCGGGCTCCACTCCTTCCAGCGTAAGCTCTTGGGGACGAACTTGGGAGAGAATAGGATCATGACTCCATCAGCGCGAGTCGTGGATGGAGCTCGCGGTTCTTGCCGAGTGTTTCGCTTCGCAGCTTGTTTAGGCCGGGTGTTGGGTTTGGTAGACTCCGAGGCTGAGGAGATACAGTACCACCCAGAAACGCTGAATTCACTGGTCTCAGTCCAGTGCGTTTCCTGCAATATGAGGACGTCGCAGTGATGAGAGGCTTCAGCTGCTAGCCACGTTTTGAGTTCGCCCCATTGCTGTTGGCCTAGGTGGCCCGCGTTCCACGAAATAACTCGAATGGATCTTTCCAACCTTCCTGCCCTGCGGGAGGCTGTGCCATATGCAGGGGAGTCAGCAGTCTGTGACTGAAGCTCTCTTCGAGTGGGTGGGGGGCGTACCCCCAGACGATCAACCAGGGTAGGTGTCAGAACCTGCCCTCGGTATGGTACGGGCCCGTCACTACGGACTGTCCTTCTACATGCTGTCTTGAACGAATTCTTACGAAGAGATGCAAAGTTTTGTGAGTGCACTGGCAATTGCGCCATCCGCTACTTTCGTCAAGAGACAGAAGCCTAATGACTCCCTCCACCGCGCGGAGGTGGAAACCCTACCGCCTACCCAGTGTTGCAATGTTTTAAACAGAGTCTGGGCCCAGGAATTGGGACCTGGCGGCTCAAAGCAGCTCCTGTGAGAAAAGGGAGAGGACCATGGCGTAGAAGGAGGCACAAACCTTTACTGTTCAGAAAAGGGCCCGGTTGGAACCTCTAGCACAGCAGTTGCGCCCCAAGCCTGTTCGAAACCTCTCATTCAGCGCGGCCGCTTGAGCACTTGTGGCGGCTACTACTACTATTACTACTACTATTACTACTACTACTACTACTACTACTACTACTACTACTACTACTACTACTACTACTACTACTACTACTACTACTATTACTACTATTATTACTTTACTACTACTACTGCTGTTGCTGCTACTACAACAACAATTACTACAATTACTATAATTACTATAATTGCTATAAGTACTATACTGCGACTGGCCGGCATGCGTGTAAGCGACCTTCTTGTGCAAATCCGCTCGTGTCTGCCACAAAGTTAGAGCAAAACGAGTTGGACCTTCGAGTTACGGCATCGCGCCAACAAAGATGAAGAAAACAACCAAAAGGTGCCGGAGCCTAGTCGGGCAATGGCCTCCGAGGCTGGCAGCGCCGTGCCTGTGACCGGCGCGCGTTCTACATGCATTTCGCCACTTTGCTGCCTGCGTCTTGGGCGTTGTTGTTTTTCCCGCACTCCGCCTGCTGCTTCACAGTACGCCTCCCACACACGATGCAGTCACCATCCCCTCCGCGGAGGTTCGGGTGCTCCTGCTCCGCTGCTTGCGCTTGCCGCGGCCAGTCGCCCCGAGAGTCTCTTCCGGCGCACTTCCGCTCGAGCGAGATGTCGCCAGGGTCGGCCAGGAGGCTGGGGCACGAGTCGCCTGCAACATGCGTCTTGCCGACGTGAATCTCCTGGTCCCTGTAGCCGATGCTCCGGGGATCGAGATCGTTTTCAATCGCTTGGCCCTTTGGCACAGGGACCACCTGCGTCAGAGCTGTCACCCGCTCCGGCGAGCCGCGGCAAGGTTTGAATCTCGGTCCGGCGTCGCGTTTCAATTCGCAACACGGCGCACCCGTCGCGACACTTGGCCGCTGGGGCCCTCAACCCATGCCTTCTTGTTGCTCGTTGCACAGGCGTGCGCACGCCGACGTCCGCTCGGCTTTGTGTGCAGCTCGTATCTACCGCTGGAGCGGCAGTGTCGCCGTAGCAGCGCAGCGGGTCCTTGCCAGCTCGCTGCTCGAGCTCCCTCTTAACAGAGCGATGGTTCGTTGCTCCGGCTTCCAGCCGCCCCTCAGAGCGGACTTAGGTCGCACAAGCACGACGTATCCCGCATGTGCAGTGGGGCCGCGCATGTACATGTCGCAAATAGTGTGCGCAAAAGAAATTCACAACCGCATCGGTTGTGCTATGTTGTGCTGTCGTCGTACGGCGACGGGTCATCAGGAACCACCAATGAGCACTTGCGCACGCTCTTCAACCACGAAGAGGACAACCAACTCCTCTACCACTGTGCTGCGGCCTGCCCACGCCGACGTCCCTGCCCCGGCACTCGCGGCCATGCGAGTCGAAGGCATGGTCGCGTTGCAAAAGCCGAATAGCCGCGGCTTCCGTGCACTCGTGGTTGGCGACACTTCGAGCAAGCTTGCCGCCCTGTCCAGTATAGCATCAGCATGCATGCCGGCACTGAGGCTTTGCCGCCACCACTGCGCCGCTGCTGCGGTGGATGCCGTGGATGCCCAAACCACAACCCCCTCTCCATCAATGCAAGGTCGGGCAGCACGTGCACTGGGCGAGGGCGGGGAACAAACAAGGGCTCACGGTTCTTGGTACACCTTGCGGCAGTGACGCTTACCTTCAGCAGCGACTTGGGCTCACGTGCGCGGAACAGCACCATCTCCTCCAATGCATCCCCCATGCCGAGGACTTGCAAGCATCGTGGTTGCTGTTGCATTACTATTTCAGCGAAACCTGCCCCCGCCCGCTACAAGCCGAATATGCAAGTCAGCATGATGCAGCCATGACCATTGCTTCGCTCGGCCATGCGGGCGCCCCGCCGCCGCCTGCGGCGACAGGCGCCACGTACCTCGCTCATCCTCGCTTTGAGCCTGCGTGCAGCTAGCCGCGACCGGTACGCTGCTTACTGGGCTTTCCTGGATGGACACTCTCCCGGTCCTGCGCGTCCGCGCCGCCAGCGTGTTTAACCACCTGATGCAGTGCCTCCGGGCTCGGTGGATGCCTTCGGTGCTGGCCGCCACACACGCGGCGGCCCACCTGCGCAGCCATTCCGGGCCAAGCCGACTTGCGCTCTGACGAGCCTATTGATTGCTTTCGCAAGTAGCAGCGCACTGCTCCTCATGCATGTGATGAGCGCGCGCTCGAGACGCAGCTTTCTGATCTCACACCTGCATCTCCCTCGCTGCCGCTTTCACAGCCGGGCCACACCGTGCGGGCTCTCGCGGTTCTCGTAACTTCTGATGATGTATCCATCCCTTCGTTCCATTTTTGGATCCTGCTTCTCGGCGGCTTCGGCTCCCGCTCCCGCACTCGGCCCACGTGCCTGCTCTTTCTGGCGTGCTTGCCTCCCGAGCACTCCCCGTCGAGCGCGCAGTCCAAGAGAGAGATGTCCTTGAACGACCGTGAGACACAGTCAGAAGTGAAACCATCGTCATGATCATAGTTTCAACTTGCCAAAGTATGCAAAACAAGGACCAACACAATAAGCTGGAGTCCGTGTCAGGTCACATTCCTGTGCCGGCTCTTAACCTCGATGTGCTCTTTCACACTAATTGGACCACTACGGCAACAACGGCGAGGATATTTGGCGCAGCGTATAGTGAATGAACCAAAAAGTTTGTGAACGAGGGATGCAATGACGTTCTCGGAGAAGAGGGACGTGGCGGAAAGCTGCGCCGTAAGTGAGAGTCGACGCTCAGACATTCATGTAATTATGCAAGGCGGGCAAACTTTCCTACATGCTTCACGATATTGTCCCCTCTTTGAGAATTGGAGGCACGTCTGGTTGAGCAGTATTCCGCTTGATGAGCGCCAATTTGCGCATTCCTTGTCGGATGAGGAGTACCTTCATTTCTTGTCTATGCCCGCGAGTCTGCGGCGCACACCTGCTGCGATATTCCCGTACATCAGTTTTGTGTCCAATGTATGGCAGGCTCAACGTTCTATAGCCGCGGGCCTGGAGCCTCATGTTTCGTTGTACGGTAATGCAACGTGTTGTTCACAGGCTCACCTGTACATACTGACCGTTTTGACGGTTGTTCCAGGACTCGTGCTTGCTAGCTAATGTCCACAGATTTTTCTTAGCGACACAGTGCACAAGGCGGGGTTGGCTGAAAGCTGTTTCGCGCAGTGCGTGGGGTTTCGCCTCGGGGATGGGGCGCGGATCCAATGAACATCGCCGCATCGCCGAACACCTTGTGCAGAGCTGACATTGACATTATCAGCACGTGCGAAAAACAAAAACAGGACGACAGCATGGGCGCTGGCAGCACGAGGGTGCGCGACAAAAAGGTTACAGACGACCACTTGCTTCACGCGTTTTCACCCAATTCGTGAGGCTCCTGCTGCATTCCGGGCGGGTCATGCCTTCGACCCCGTTTTTTTGTAGTTGCCGCAGCTCGCAATGATACGTGGCTGCCTTCGACCTTGGCATTGGACAACTTCCATTTGGATTACGCTCTAAGCCGTATGAACAGTGTTACATAATACTTCGACAGCTCCTGGCAAGGCGAGTTGGTTATATCCTTGCTGGACCATGTGTAGCTTTGACATCGTTACAACTAGTTACAACTGTTACAATTGACGTGGAAGCTTGGTGTTTGTTGCGGCAAGTTTTTCCATTCCTAATGCGAGAACATCTCCGCATTTTTTTCGTTTTTGCTGCGCCATTCACATGCTTTACTTTGTTTTACCGGAGAACTGTGTGAACATGTGTCAATGACCTAGGCTTTCGATAAATGCCGTGGAGGTTGCGAGCAACAAATGGGTTGTTGTTTCGATATGCAGCCGTTCGAAGAGAGGGCGTATCTTCCACTTAGTTCCTCTGGTTTGATGGCTTCGGTTGCGAAGGCGCGGGAGTCAACAACCATCTATGCTTCGTTGGCCGGCGATTCGCGAGCGAAAGGCATGGCAACACATTCCAAACAGATGATGCATTGAGTCATGGTATTGGACATGCGAACAGGCGGTCTTCCCCCAAGCTTCCGCCGACGGTGGCCGCTTGAATGCGCAACGCATGATTTTTCCATCACAGTTATGGGCATGTGCAAAATGAACAGGTGTCTTGGCTTTTTGTGTTTTGGTGCCCCGTGTTCAGGAGCGCACGAAGTTGGCCATGGCATGTTGCCATCCCGCGCATCAAGATCGAGGAGACCAGAGGCGTGGTTATATTGAAGCAAGTGGGCATCGGGCAGACCCGGAGGTGTCAATGTCATCATTTTCTCACACTCATGGCATGTAACATGGCATGTAATTGCATGTGCACACGTGCCTTGGCAGCGACATCCTGGAACCTCGGGACGCATCTTTTCCGCCACTGTTGCCGTGTTCGTCTGTTTCGGAACATTACACATGCCAGATTGCAAGGTCTGGACGGCCGGGACAGCTTCGTCGTCTCACCGGCGGCACCCGGTGCCGCAGACCAAGTTGTCGAAACGCAATATAAGGACACAGCAAGGTCGGCCGAGAAATCCAAGCGTGCAATAAGCAGCTTTGACCCGGTGTAGTGACCCGGTGTGCCAAGGCCAACGTTCTTGGCTTTCATGGGATCCTGTGGATCTGCACTTTGCCTCGAGCAAAGGTTCGCTCCCCCAGTCATATCGGGTTTACCTCGGACGTCGTACCTTGCATTGACCTCATACTACCAACACACCTCAGGAACTGATTGTGAAAGGATTTGCCTGCTGATCTGTGATTGCAATATTTGCACCCCCCATTCGTTGCCCGCCGATTGTTTCTCGCTTTTGCCGGTGCTCACAGGAAATGTAGGCCGGTGGGATAGATTGTATTGTGTGGGAGTGTAGCCCGCCGCTAAACTCCACTACGCGGGCCTTCATCGTGGCAGGGCAGTCACCGATCCGATCATACGACCATGAGCCAAGACAAATCCAATACTGTAGACAATACAAACTTCGTGTGAGAAAACAAGCTGTTGATGTGAGTGGCTCGATGCGCTCCGCGGATGTCAACACACGTCCCTGACGTGTTCTCGGTCAATGCCCACCACGGCACCGGAGTTGGCTGTGCTGCTTGGCAAATCGATACCCGAAAGCTTCGATCCAGCGTTGATTTCAAGGTTTAGCATACGTGGCGTGCTTTCCTGTGTCTGTGACAGTCGCCACGTTGGCACTGTCCTGCATTCTGTCTGCATGCAGGTGTTTGTCCAATGATCATTGGAAATGCCGCAAGGACACATCGGCGAGATCCATGTGTTCGATTGCTGCAGCATGCAAACATCGCAGCAATAGCAGCTAACTTGAAGTGCAACGGTGCAGGAAGCCTTGGAGAAACTAGAACGCTTGGACCAAGATGCTGGAGAATTGGCCGCAGCCTTGGTCACCACCGTATGTGTGCCTGCAGCCCCTTAAGCTGAGGTGTCATGGTGTCGGGATATGTACCAGCCCCCGCGAACGTTGATCCGGTGAGGGCAAAGGATCTTTCTTTGAAGCATGGTGCAATTTGACTTCGTTTGACAAGTAACCAACGATAAACAACTCTTTTGCAACAATGCCGGACCTCTGAAACTTTAGCTTCTTCAGCTAGTGCGAAAGCTAATCTTATGGCAGAGGTCGTGAGGGTTAGAGATTCTATCCAGACTCATAGGTCATTCCCAGGATGTTTCCGACGTTTATGCCTCACAAAGTCCCTTTCCGGTCGAGAACCAGTTTCAGCCTACTTTCCAGGATTGCAACAGCAGGTTGATTCGTTCGATTCGTCATTGCATCTGCAGCCCCCAAGTGCAAAACCCTTAAATTTCTTCTGTGTCTGCTGTTTTTGAGGTCTTCTCCAGCATGCGGGCCACGCTCAGTGATGGCAACATGCGCGTGCGGCGAGCAGGTGCCGAGATATGCCGAGACGTTGGCATTGGGTTTCGGTTTTGTTGTTGCGTAAGATTCATTGTTCAGGGTTTTGCCCAAGTCCAAAGCAAAAATTGGGGTAAGCTTGCGCCATGTAGCGCGTCTGGGGGTCGCATAGCCTGCAGTAAAGCATTGGCTGCACCCAAGGCGTGCTCAACTTTAAGCCTTGAAACATTGTCCGACTGGCGAGAGTCCAAACCCCAAAAAATCCCCAGACAAAAGCTTCAACCCATAAAACCTGAATCTTCTCCAAAGCTGGGACTAACAACTCCAGAATGCTGGAACCCCGAAGTTCCATAGCAAACCAGAAATCACAAACACTTGCGAGCAACCACCGACCACATGTCTTACATCCGAATCCTGAGCTTCAGCAATTAATTCGAAACCCCAAATTCGCAACCCGCAAGCATCCTAAACCCGAAACCCTGCCTTGTGCGAGTGTGAGCGCGTCGAAAACCCGAAAGCCCCCTTGGCTTTTCAGCCAGGTGCCCATGCCTTGGCGGAGTTTTGCCTACCCGAGGTGTGCTTCCTTGGTTTAGGGCTCTTACAGCGCTGTTAAGGTTCTGGGTTTGGCACTCTTAAGGTTTAGGGTTTGGGGCACTTTGGGTTTCGGGTTTGGAGCTCTTTGGGTTTCCTCCCCGTGTCTGTTGTGAGATTTCGGGCAGGGGTTTCCATTTGGAATTGCGTAGTTTGGGGCCCCGAGGGTTAGGTGTGGGGTTTCAATTCGATCGAGCTTTTCGGGTTATCTTGGGAACGCTCTACTTGCGGCAGCATACTCCCCAAGCCCTGGGTCCCAAGCTCTAAACCCTGTACTCAGAGCCTTATAACCAAACCGCAAACCCAAAGGCCCTAAACCTTAAACTCACCCAAGCACATTGAAACTCTCGTAACGAGGATCGGTTGAAAGAAACCTTGCGAAACCTTTGTACAGCCCTAAAAACACACCACGCCCCCTGAGCCCCAAACCCCGATACAGTAAACACTCCACGTGCTGGAAAAGCTGAGTTCTTGTTTAGGAACCAGAAAAGGGATCTATAGTAAAGAGTAGGGTTTCCTTATTATGGTCATGCACATTAAGTTCCTTAACAGGAACCCAAAAACCCGAAGGTTTGGGGCAAGAAGCCTGCCAGCTTCGGCGTGGAGGCGGTCTCAGAGCTGCCTTTCGGCGAAATCCGGGGGGGGGGGGTTTAAGTTTAGGCTTTAGCCTGCTGCAAAAGGGTTCGCCTTCTCCAAAGTTGGGACCTCGTCTGAGCATTCAGCACTCGGAGAAGGAATCTTGATGTTTAGAATTGAGATGAACTAAGCGAATTTCTCCACGATTTCGGGGTTCGGGTTTGGGGCAAACATGGTCGCAGGGGCATCGGGCACAATCCATATTTGGGGCCTGTTTAATTGATCCGGAGCTGACTGATGCAAGGACTCGGCACCTTGCAGATCCAGACCTGCATGTGCGAAGGGCCCCTCTGCTTGAACGAATTCCATGTCCTCCCGGCTGGATGGCTGAATGCTGATCCTCGCTCCGTGTCGTGCTTATGCGTGCATCTCTGCCGGCAAGCTTGTTGTTGCGTCCTTGTAGCATTGTATCACATTCGTGACGAAGGCTGCTCGGGAGCCTTTACGCGAACTGCAAACGAAAGCCTTCGTGGGGCACTCGGAGGAGAAGGTGCCGATCTGGCTTCCTCGCAAAATGATGCTTAAGCTTTTTGAATGAAAGTTTATTCTCTTGTGCGTCGGCCGAGGTCGGGGACGTTGTTGTGGCTGGGCAGTCCGCGATACCCTACCTGCAAGACACCCATCTGCAAATCATCCGTTTCTGTCCCTGCCGTGCTTGCACAAGTGAGCTTTGTTCATGGCCCGGAGAGCTCGGTATGATAGACTGAAAGAAGAAGTCACCATGTTGACTCACTCTCCTTCGCATGCCTTCAAAAAGTGACAATGTCTGGGAAGCCTTAGAGTAGCTCTCCCATCCACCCTCATCTGCAGGCTCGTCTCCGTGACGAGGAGTGATTCTGCAATGTTTTGAGGCTTTGGTGAGAGTAAAATCAAGGGGGTGATGGAATGTAATGAGGAGTTCTGGGAAGCAGTTGCCTTCATCTGCAAGGAATCCGGACTTCGGCTTCCCACACCGTTGAAACCCTTAAAGCTCTTGGCGTCAACCACGAAACTTGATACAGTACCGAAGTGGAAGCTTGCCCCAACTCGTTTTGCTGCATCCTGGTTTCGCATGGGCAGCTCAAGACCTCCGAAAGCCCAAAGCTTGTGCCCAGAGAGGACTGGCAGGTGCGTGATGCCACGCTTCGAGCTCTTGGGAGCTTGGGCCCAGGGGCCTTGACGCTGGGTCGGGACCTGCAGTGCTGGAGGGATGTGGAATCTTAGAATTTTGGGCTTCGGGGCTGAAGGTACGGAATGTTTCGCTGAGCCACTGACAGGGGCAGTGCTTCAGATTCGGACCACTTGCACTGTTCGTTCGCAGTTGTTGGCCGCTGCAGCAGCAGGATTAGAGGAGCAGGAGGACTTGGAGGCGTGTTGTCTGTCCGTGCAGCGGTTGGTTGCGCAGGAGCACTCGCTGCTGCAGCAAGGACGAAGAGATAGGAGGAGTAGGAAGAAAGGGAGTAGAACAAAAAGGAGGGGAAGAGGAGGAGGAGGAAGGACTGTGGGGGCGGAAGCGGAGAAGCGGGAGCCTTGTGAGCCGTCACGGGAGCTCTTCTTGCTGCGTTTTGCTGCAGATATAGTGTTTGGTGATGGTGATAGCAGCGGCGGCTGTGCGTCTCTGCTCTGTGGGTGATGCATTTTGTGGGGTTCTAACAAGGGGGCGGTAAAGGTTAGAGGGGTGGGAAGGGTTTGGGCTCGCTGAACCCTGGCGAAGCAATCCGAAGAGCCTGATTCGAGTTTGTTGAGTTGCAAAGAACAGATTTCATGCGGGACTGTAGGAAAGCTTTCGGTTTGTTCTACAGAAACCGGCAAAGACGATGCAAAGCCAGATGTTGTCATGGGCAGGACATAGCGCGACTGCTGGCAGATGACAGTGCCGTCTGCCGTGATGCCGCGAAGTCAACCCTGGACATTGCACGCTCGAGTTTCGATTTTCGTTTCGAAGAGTTGCCAGTGCCAGAACTACTGTTTCAGGGTGTCGCCGTAATCATTGCTGCTACCGAGAATCTTTTTCATGTCTCGGTTGGTAAGATATGGCTCGGAGGAAAGTATGCCAGGAAGAGGGCTGTCTACATCTCATTCCATCTAGCCGGTAGCGTTTTTCCTCAGCACCCTCGTAAGCTCCAAGGCCTTCGAATCCGAACATGAGACTTGCCCAAAAGCCCCCAGTCCCAAAGAAACCCTATACACCCAAGCCAACCAAAACCCACCTGAAACACCTTCCGAGCCCTTTTACATCGAATTCCCGAACAGCTCGAAGGACAAGCTGCTAGGACCGGGCTTGCGGAAACCTGGCTTGAGGGGTCTGACTCCCCCTTGGGCGAAAAAGGGTGTAGTCGTTTCGGGTTTGGGTTTCGACAGCGACGACGACATACCTCTGTTACTATGGCAGTCATCGTTGCTCGCGGTGGTGTTGCTGCTAGTTGCTAGCTTGAGAAAAGATGTTTGCGATATTGAGGGTGGTTATGAAGATGGTCATCGTAATGGTGGTTAGCCTTCCGATCGAATGATGATGATTGACGACGATGGGCAGAATGATAGTTTCAATGCTCATTATCACATCGGCATCATACAGGTCCTGGAGGTCGCCTCGTCTCTTTTCAACTTCTTCACACTGGATCCCCTTCCTTCTCTCCAGTTCCTTCTTGGTTTGTGTCGAAGCTGACGGCAGGAAGCGGGCTTGCAGCTGCTGATCTGCAGGCCTATTGTCCGACACACACCACACAGCCGAGTGCCCAACCCGGCAGCTGGCAAACTGGCTTGAGACCCTATGCTCGCAGCATCATGCGAATCCCTGACGGATTTGAGCCGGTAGAGGTGGTGGTACCACCCAACGCCGAGCTTTTCGTCGGGCGTTTGAAGCACAAGGTGGGCTGCTTTCCCTTGGCGTGTAGGCTTCGCCGGTTAGGATTGTAGTTGGAGCTCAGGATTCAGTGGTACCGCCGGGGCACCTCTCGTTTCTAGGGCTGATGTCCAAAAGAATGAGCTCGTGCTGACTAAGCAGCATGGATGTTTGTTGAAGGATCGAACATGAAACAGATCCCAATCCCACAAAGCCAGCATCACTCTTGCTTTTCACAAAGTCTTAAACCCTTCGAAAAGGGCCGTGCAAAAGAAAAGAAAACCCTTCGAAGTTCACCCCAACTCTGAGCCCTCAAGACCAACCAGACCCAAAGCCCCAGAGCCTTGATGTGGAAATTGGTGCTCAAGCCAGAATCGAAATCTTCCAGGATCCGAAAGTCCGCTGTGCGGCCGCCTGGGCACTCGGCCACAGCACCTCAGCTTTCACTCCCTCGCTTGCCTTTTGTCTTTGCTGGTAAATGCACCGAAGGTGCTGCTGCCGTCATCGGCTTGCACACGCCTCCTGGATGGTACATAGCAGGTATCCCAAGTCCCTCAACACCCCAGCCCCGAACCCACTCCTTGGGCTTGCGATGCCTGCGGGAGCCAAAGAACCCAAACCCTAAACCTCAGGATCCAGGACACGCTCGTCACAGAGTCTGATCCGGCTATTTTCCGAGTCGCAGTCGAGGTGCCAAGTAGTACAGCGGACGGTCTCGGGATTTGACTTGTGTGTTGCTATCGCCAGTCCTTGTGAACGTGTTTTTCGCACTGAAAGCCTGAAGGTTTGAAGCGTGTATGCTCCGGGGCCTGGGAGCTTTGAGCTGGGAGTCGAAACTTATGGGAGCCCGGGATAGACCTCTGAGACAGGGCATGGAAAGCCTCAGGCACGACAGCTCCAGGCTTTTTGGTGTTTCTTAAAGCCCCAAACCTTCTAACCTTTCGCCGCAGAAACCCCGCACTCCAAATCGTCCCTAAGCCGTGGTTCTTGCCACGTTGTAATTTTATTCCTCTGAGTTCCTTGTAGTAATGATACGGTAATTTAATTCATAGAAACGGATATAGATAAAGGTATAGGCATACCTACATACACACATATATATATATATACATAGATAGATAGATATGGAAGAGAAAAGATACTGGTATAGGTATATGGGTCTTTCTTTATCAGGCCTTGGGCTGGCTTGGCCTGGCGGCACTCCCTGCGGCTCCGGAGTTGGGTCTCGGGCCCTCGGGGCCGCAGTTTTTGCTGGGATTCCACATGTAGGGCCGTAGGGTTTAGGGTTAGGGTTTAGGGTTTAGGGGTTAGGGGTTAGGATTCAGGGTTTAGGGTTAGGGTTTAGGGTTTAGGGTTTAAGGTTTAGGGTTCAGGGTTTGGGTTTAGGGTTTTGGGGGTTAGGGTTCAGGGTTAGGGTTTAGGGTTTAGGGTTTAGGGTGTGCCAATCGCAAGCGCGCCTTTGTGGGCGCGCACTAGCCCACAGGCTCACCCACCCCAAGGCCACCCACTTACAACTCTCAGGGTGTACAACTGTACATGTTTCTTGGCACAGTTACTGCGAGAATGCATGCAGGACTGAAGAATGTGTTCACGGTTTCGTAAAGGTTTTCACAGTGCTTTGCATGAAGTTTGTTGTAGGGCCCCTTTGTGGCGGCCTGACGTATGTCGTCTTATGGAGAATAGCCGAAAACTCCTAGGCAACAATACAGGCATGTTACAGCGGAATGCAGAGACATATTGTCACAAAGCTGTATATATGCACACATGTACCTTCACATGTGAGAGCCACGGCTTGGCTCAGTGAAGACCAGTGTACAACTGCACTGCGTTGCTGGACAGCATGCCGGCAACTCAGATCCGAGGCAGGCATGGGGCCCAAAGCCGAAGCGAGCTGCGAGGTCGCTGGTGACGGCCGTGACGGGACTGTTTTGTCGACGACCGAGACACTGCACAGTGTTAAAACGCAACTCAGAAAGCCCTTGACGTGGCAGGCGCCATGGCCGCGTGGCTGGCATGTGGAGCAGGAGCCCGAAGAACAACGGTCATGCACGAAATCTTATTGTTTGTGAGGAACAGCTCCTCAAGGGTTGCCGGAGGCCACTGCAGCACTGAAGCCTTGGAGTTTAAAGCCGCGCTATGGCAGGCACCTGCTGCGATGGAGGCGGCGCGAATCATTAATTGCACAGTGGCTTCTGTGTCTACTCACCGGCCAGGTACCGCGCTCCAGAGACTCTGCTGCTGCCTGAGTCGAGCGGTGATAGACAAGTAAACCAACTGAGCAATGTGAGGCCGGACCTAACGCATCGGTGTGGCCCTCGGCAAAAGTTACATACATTGATCGTGAGGGGAAAACAACCAAATGAAAACACCAACGAAGGGCCTCAGGCACGGCAAGAGAGGCAGTGGCACCCCAGTCAAACCTGGCCTGTGAGGCAACAGTGGGAGGTCCAGAAGCAGCCGAGGAGGCACGCCTGCTCCGGAGGCTTCCTAGAAGCGGGAATCGTGCATGACCAGGTACTTGCAAAGCATGCAGCGAAGACACAAAGTTGTGTCCAAACCGGCGGCAGGCGCCACCTACCGACAACACCGCTACCGCCTCGGTTGCGCGCGAAAGCAAGCAAGGTTTCCGAATGCGCAACTGGGAGGCTGCGAGCAATGTGCCATGTGGGACTCCCAGCAAACACTACAACCAGACTTGAGGATGCGAGCCGAAAGCAGGTCAGAACGGAGACCCGGAGGCACGGCCGCAGGGAGTGCCTGTGTGTGTGAGACGTTGAGACAGTCGGACCTGCAACCGGCGAAGCAGAAGGCCACCCCATCTCGGCCGGGTGAGTGGGTACTTGAACCTGTTTGAGCAGAGGCGGAAACGACCCCGTGCCGGGTCTCCCCACTTAGACCAATAGACCAAAGAGCAGCAAAGTCTGATATGGCTTGACTTGACGATCAAGTTAAGGGGCAGAAGAGGCAGCCGCAGAGAACGCCGCAGGCAAAATCTCAACATGCGTGAGCATGCGTGACATCCGCACCTCTGCTCTAGAACGCAGGCATGGACGCCGCCGCTTTGCTCGAGGATGCTGCCGCACGTCGTAAAGGGCTCCGCGCGGCAGTGCGAGCCGACCAGCGACGAAAAGCAGGTGGTGAATCGGACCAGCAATCTTGGCAAGACTGTACACATGTGTCTCAGAGGCCAGCCACCGCGAGAGTGCGTGCTGTGGGAAGATGTGCAGGAGGTGCTAGAAAGCAACTCGCCAGCATGTGACTGCCCGGCTTTTAGTTCCGGCCGTAGCCTGGGTTATGGCGGCAGAACAATAGTTGCACAGGCTGGTGGACGGCGCAGCTTCTGCAAAGTTTGTTTGAAGCAGACTTCATCAGTCGCACCTCCGTCACGAATGCTGTGGACTTCGTTGCGCGGCGCTCATGTTAAGGGTAAATGTGCGAACCCGTGCGCGAGACCACAAAGACTGAACACCTGTGCTGCACCCGGGAAGCTTTGCTGCGGCATCTGCTGGCCGTGCGTGGGTTACTACCCGCAGCACGCGAACCAAGAAGCGGAGGCTCGGCTGTTGTCACCTCAGTGCTGAAGACAGCAACATGACACAGTCGCGCAAGGCGGAAGCTGCCGAGGCAGTCGCCAAAAAGGGGGAGGGCCGGCTGGCGCAGACGGCGCGAGACCAGGTGCGAGCAGCAAAGGCGCAAGCCAGAGCCCGGCAGCAACGCTTGAAAGAGCTGGAAAAAAAAGTGGCCAAGCAAGAGCAGGCCTGGAGTGCAAGCAGCTGTTATTTGGCGCATCGCAGCAAGTCAGTCCGTCCCAAGATGGAGGACCTCAAGCGCTGGCGAGACAACGCCAAAGCCAACAGAAACAAGAAGCGCGCAGACCTCAAAGTGCGTGCGACGGAAAACGAAACAGTCCGAGCCTGAGAACGCAAATCGCAAAATGCAGCTCGAAGGGCTGCCAAAGCGCAGAGGCGCGCGCGGCTCTAGCGGAGATCCGGAAGCAGGACCGGAGTCGGCAGCACAACAAGCGAGTAAGAGACGCAGAACTCCGCAAAGAGGCCGGGACGTATCGTGCAGCCGGAAACTGTTGTCTGAAGAAGCAGACAGCAGGCGGACATGCTGGTTCCCGCAGAGGGTTAGGGTTTAGGTTCTAGGGTTGGGCAGTTACGGGGATTTCAGAAAGGGCCCACTGTAAGTCTAGAAGGCTAGTACGGAGGTTTGTTGTACGGAGAGGGGGGAAGAAGGGTTAACGCAGGGTTGTTGTAGGGCTTCGGGATCTCAGGGTTTTTTCGAACTTTCAGGGTTCCGGCCATTGTTTTGTTTTTACACTGCTGAGGATTTGCGGGGCTCATACCGATCATGGTTTTGGGCTTAGGCTCTCTAGGGGGATGGTGCGGTCAAGGAGCAGTTTGTCGGCGGCCCTTGCCGAGACAGCCGCACTGAAGGATTCGTCGCATAAGCCGAGCATCATGTAGTTACGTAGTTGAGGGTTCAGGGGCAGTTTGGGGTTCGCGGCTTTGCATGTGCAGCAGTTTAGTTTGGCACGTCACTTTGGGGCTCATGCATCCGGATCATGGACAGCTTCCGGTTGGTGCAGCTGTCGAGGATTTGGGGCGGGAAAGTTTGGGGATGTACTCTCACTCTCACACTCCGACAGCCCTAGAATCCAGAATATCCATGTCGTGTGGGAGCCAAACCCCAGGATGTGAATTAACACAACCTTTATCTCGCAATTTCCTATGGGTCGGGCCCTTCGAGGGATGCGCACCAGCCCCTCAAACGGGATACTGCGAGTACCTCGTGGAGCTTGTGAGGTACCTGATGTGCTGGCAGCCTCGCAAAATCCACAAGCCTAAAGCGCAGAACCCAATGCCACTGCCCAAAACTGCAGACTCCTCAGACAGTCTGAAACTCTTAAATCTGGCTATATGCTAAACCTTCCTCCAGAGCTGCCTATGTAGGCCCTAAATCCGAAATTCCCAACCTTAAACTCAAACTCTCACAGCAGCCCGAAACTCCACGAGGTGTGTGGATCTCAGAGATAAGAGTGGGAGGGAAGAAGAGGCACCAAGCCTTGACACGTTGAGCAACAAGTCTTAAGACAGTCACCTCGGAAATTCACAACCAGAACACCCTGAACCCTAAATCTTACATCCCAACCGCCACATCCGAAGCCCTGGACCCTTAAACCAAACTGTATAGCAACATACTGGCCAATTTCCTGAGCCAATCCTGAAAGCCCCCGCTATATTTCGAGCTTCCGTGCCTAAAACCCTAATAAGAACCCTTTCTCGTCCCCCCTCAAGAACCCCAAAGCAGAACCTGTCGGCGCCGAGGCTCAAGACTTTCCTTGCCCGACCCAGGAGTCAGGACGGATGCGCTGGGCCCGCCTTCGGGTTTGGGATCTGGGAGTTTCGGAAAATAGGGGACCCTAATATAGTACCCTAAACAGTAGGATCCTTATCATAAGGACCCCAAATAAGGTACCCCTAATTTTCGGAAACTCCAATCTAGCGTGGCCTTCGGGTGGTGAACCCCAATAAAGCTCCGAACGTGGATGCCCTGCAGCCTGAAGCAGGGAAGCTTGAGCTGGAGCTCTAACTCCACAACGCCACTCGAAGGGCAAACCCGAAAGCTTTCATTGTCTTGAAGTGCTGCGAGCTGTAGGCTATAGGAGTTCAAGGGTTGTAGAGCTGCCTCTTAATATTACCCTGCCCAAGCAAGCACAGAGTTCAACCTGCCTAAGCACCGTCAACCCAGCCCTGGAAGGAGGGCGCCACGGGGAGCTCCGACACTTCGGAGGATCCGAACAAGGCGGTCGATGACGGAAGCGCCCTTGTGGCTTGTTGGAGTTGCCGGGCGAAGCCTAAGCTTAACTGGGGGTGGAGGTCGGGAGGTGGGAGACCGCGATGTCGGTGCAGAACATCGTGGCACCGTTTCAGCATCACCCCGACGATCCTGCATTGTAGGCACAGCTTTCGGTCCCATACGTAGTCTGCTTCGTTCAACGCACATTGTCAGTGGTATTTGCAGTATTTAACAGTTAAACTTTAACAGCTGTCCCGCCAGCACCGTGAGCGTCAGCTGCACCCCTTGGACGGCCCACGGGTGTGCCTGGCACACGTCATGCCGCTGTCGTCTCGGGGAACTTTTCGGCCATGCCACCTGATGCTCATGATGCGCGCCCCCCAACCAGCATCATGAGCGTCAGCTGTGCCCCTTGTTCTCCTTGGCCATCTGCCGCTCATGATGCACGCCTGGCGGGCATTGCCGACTGGAGCAGCATCTCTCTAGTGCAGTAGTATTGTGTCTATGTCTGTGGTAGTTAAGTTGCTGGACAGCAGCTAGCCTTCAAACATGGCCGACGCTGGGAACTCGGTAGTATGCTATATTATACAATCTGGCCGTATACTTACATGGCCAAACTTGTCCTGCTTTGTCTGGTTGCGTGCGGCCTGTGTAGAAACCTTTCTTACGCGCAAGCTGCTCTGCCCGGCCCAACTGCTTTCCCCCCTCCCCACTGCTGCGGCAAGCCCCTTTGACTCTCCTTGCCTGCGCCACTGTGCCACGTGCGTCTGAGACGACTCGGCGCTTTCCGTCTCCGTTTCGGTGCAGGATTTTGCGAGGCTCCGGAGGCTCCCAGCCCGGATTGTTAAGGTCTGCTAAGAGCCAACCTATCCGATTGAGGCATTGAGGTTTAGGGGCAACAGGGTCCCCATCTTGCTATCGGGAGCTTTTTTTTGAGGGCTCTGTTTTGAAGCACTCCTCGGCAGGTAGCCATGACGGAGTCCATGCTCAAGGTCTACCAGGCCCAACATTATATGCATCATCGGTGCCCCTTTGCACGGTTTTGGTGCGAGGGTCCACAGCCGCTCTTGGAACCCAAAGGGCTCATAAAGAAGGTCAGACCCTGCTTGTCTTGAGCTTGCGCGAACACCGTTACCTACACCAGCAACTTTTGGCCAAAAGGCCACCAGCTCCAAATCATAATTTCGAACTCGACGCATATGCTGGATCCATCCCGAAGCATACGCCCCACCCGCCATGTCTCCCGCCAAACCCCTCAGCCCCGTGAAAGCCGACAAGTCCCAAAATGTGGACCTCATGAAGTTGCGTGCGCATTACATGAGTTGCGAGAGCCAAAGCATTCCAAAACCTTCGCCTGAACCCTCATGAGATGAGCCCCGCAAGACCACACATGCCGCGCACATGAAGGAAAGTCTCGGGGCCTGTCAGGTTTTCTCCTGAGATGAGGTTAGTTCTCATCGGTTTTGTAACTCTTTTTCGCCAGTGTTCACCAAACTCCGAGCCTTGATTGAACACGCAGCTGCGAAAGATTTTGAGCCGTGTAGGGCTCGGGGCTTTAACAAGCCATCCGCGAATGGGACAGCTTCACCGACTTCATCATTTACGAGCCTCGCAGCTTGCAGCAGCAGCACCCTTTCAGCCTGAAGCCCAAGCCCCAAAGCCGGCCCAAAACTCCCCCGGAACCCCCCCCCCCCCAAAAGAGCCCGAAGCTTGGAGGAGCTACTGCTCGTCATCGGCCGAGCCCTCGGCCGCGAAGAACGACTCAACGAGGACATTTCCCCGATGT